AAACACTCCTGAAAGCACTTGCGCATTTGTTCTGTGAATGGAAAGGTTTGAATTCAGAGCAAGTTCAGCGTTGGATGGTCTAAGCATGGAAAAGCCCTCCATTCCATTAGAAGAGCTAGGCAGCAATTTCTGGTTATGGAACCAGAAGCTCTCAGGCTTCAAATAAAATAGCATCACTTGTACTCTTATGAAATTGTAAAAACAAAAAACCAAAACCGGATCTACATCTGTCCTACAAGGCCGAGAGTACTCGAGACCTCATGGATATAAAACCAGCTTACAAACTACATTGCACTGTATGAAGAGATTATCACTGGGGGCAAAGCACCAAGCAGACAGCACAGTACACAGTGTGTGGATGTTACTGTTACTCCCTAGCCTTCCCATTCCTTTGTTTTGGTCCTTTGTGCATATGGAACAGTTCTGTTATTAAATTTTGTAATCATAACTGAGAACCTGACTCTCAGCAAGGGAATAGTTCAGAAATTGAGGGAGTTTAACTCTGAATGAGTAAATAAAAAAGCAATAATATCATAAAATTTTATCATCATTAAACATAAAAAGTTTAAAAACAAATACTTAAAATAATGTAACAATTGATCATCAGGCAATTTGGACTCACAACAACGTATGGTGTTTGTCAGACATGCACTGTTGCAATGCAGCTTGACTGTCTTGCCGACAGCCTCAATGCTGTTTTTAAATTGGCAGAGGCAGCAGGCCATATGGTTAGGTAAGATCCTATAGATGAAAACAGAGAACAAAAATTAGTGGTAAAGCAGTTACTTGAGTAGGTAAAGGAGGCAGGCCAACACTACCACAGGGGTGGGCAAAAAGGTGTTACTGAAGCCTATGGACTGGACAGTTGGGTAGGAACCAGAAGGCCAACAGGAAGGAGGGCAAAGGTGCCCAGCCGAACAGTAACCATGGCAGTGAGTATGGTATGCCTAGAATAAAGGTGGTTGGGATTAGAATTGGGTGACACTGATCAGTAGTTTAATTCAGAAGTATCTCTTCCCAACTCAGAAGTCTCACTTTGGGCTGAAAGTATATAGGAAGAAGGTAGACTTCTAAGAAGAATCTGAGTAAGTCCCCAACTTCTGGAGGCCCTTTCTCAATTCCTGTTGGGAGTGGGAAATACTATAAATTACTCTGGGCATTAAAAATAGCTTAGTTTAACCTGGATTGTGGGGTTAAAAAATAACAGAGATAGCATTGGCCAAATCTGGACAATCTGACCATTCAAAAGAATAACAACATTACAAAGTTACAACATCGTTAATATAAAGAAGAATCCATGAAGGGTGATATTCAAAAAGAAAAAGGGGGAGTTCTTCAATGAAATAATGCCAGCTAGTATATGTAGAAGGAATGACAGAATTTTACAAAGTGTCACTTTGCAACCACCAATCTAATAAAAATTCTTTCAGACAAGGATTATCCTTGATGCACATTTGGGTGAAAAGACATTTGAGAACAGGATCTTCACTGAACTCAAAGTACCAACCCACAGATTATTTATTACCAAGGGGGAAATTAGTAGTATTATTATTTTTTTAATGAGACAAGGTCTCACTCTTTTGCCCAGGCTAAAATACAGTGGCAAAATTATAACTCATTGAAACCTCAATCCCCCTTGACTTGGGCTCAAGTCATCCTCCAAATTCAGCCCCCTCAGTAGCTGGGAGTATAGACTTGCACCACCATGCCCAGCTAATTTTTTTTTTTTTTTTTTTTTTTTGTAGTTTTAGTAGTGACAGAGTTTCACCATGTTGCTCAGGTTGGTGTAGAACTCCTGGACTCAAGCAATCCTCCCACCTTGGCCTTCCGCAGTGCTAGGATTACAAGTGTGAGCCACTGCACCCAGCAAAATAATTACAATGGAGAGATCTGGAAGATCACCTTAATCAAGTGATCAAACTTAGTATTACAGGCCACCTGCGGTTACGAGGCAGGAAGGATACATATGCAGTATTTTTCCCAAAAATGCTGAACTTGAATCTCATCATGAGGAAACCGACAAATCCAGATAGTGGGACAATTTACAGGACAACGATCTTTGACTCTTAAAAAATGCCAATGTCATGAAAGATCAAAGAAAGTAGAGGAATGTTTTAGATGAAAGGAAACGAAGACATGACATGCAGTGCCTGATCTTCAATTGGATTCTGTACTATTCTTTCATCTTTCTGGCATGTTTGAATTTTTTTCAAAATGTAAATTTGGGAAGAAGAGATAACCAAGACGATTGATTAGTTTATTGTTATGGCTTATTGGGGGCAGTTTCAGAGAGAGAAAGACAATCCCTGTAACTGGAGTAAAAGGTCAATCTCAGGGAGTATAGCAGGGTCATTAAGAATACAGATTCCACAGCCAGATCGGGCTTAAATCCCAGCTCCGCTAATAATGTGAATTTGGGCAAATTGCTAAATCTCTGTTCCTCGACCTTGTCATTATAATAGTACCTACCTCTAATGAGTTTTGAGGATTAAATGAATCAACACCTGAAAAATGCCTGGCACACAGTGAGTGCTCAATAGCAGTTATCTACTATAATTATTATGTTGCAGAGGTTGTGGGGGGCCTTTTCTGAGTCCTCCAAAAGGATGGCTTTATTAGGGCCACATTAAGACTGTCGAGACAGAAGAGTGTTTCATGGATACATGAAGTCTATGAGTTGGGGGTACAATGTATATAGAGTTTTAGATTAAAACTGCATCCAATAAGTTGGCCTGACACATCTTTCAAACCTACAGAGGAATAATCACAAGTGACTAGTATTATTCCTTTGGGTCCAGTGGAAGCCTTTGATCTTCATGTGGAATGGACCCAGAACCGTACCCCAGCATTTTATCATACAGCAACCTTAACTCTGACACAAAGGTGTTTCTTTTGTTTGTTTTGAGGCTGGGTCTCGCTCTGTTACACAGGCTGACTGCAGCGGTGCAATCTCGGCTCACTGCAGCCCCTGCCTCCTGTGCTCAAGTGATCCTCCCACCTCAGCCTCCTGAGTAGCTAGAACTACAGGTGTGTGCCACCATGCCTGGCTAATGTTTGTACATTTTGTAGAGATGGGGTTTCACCATGTCGTCCAGGCTGGTCTTGAACTCCTGAGCTC